AGCGCACACTGTGTCTCACCTAAAAAATCCACTGCGCAGGCTCGAAGGGTTAATGACCTTTCCCAAATCTTCGTTCGCAAAGACTGTCCATACTAGTATTGTTTGTGCCCCACCCACCCCCCAAAGAATTTTCAGGCATTTTTGGAAGGACCTTGCCTAAATCCCTTCACTCCCCACCAACCTCACCTGTATGAGGATGGTGCCTTGTCTCCCGGCTCAGGCTCCACTCAACCACACTCCCCCTCGTTTACTGTGCTCCAGTCAGTGCCAGATGTCTCAGCCCTACCCTATGACACTGTTGCAGGGAGATCAGCCCATGAAGCTTTAGGACATGGCTGTAACACCGGGATCAGAATATGTGCTCACAGACTCACCTCGAACCGAATCCACAGCACCCACACCCTGGCCTCTGTGTGCCTCAGTCTGTAGGGACAACCTCTGCAAAGGGGCCTCAGGAATGAGCACCGGACCCAGGACACAGTTACAGAGTGCTGAATGCAGTGAAAACTTGAATGTGCTCTGAAGGATCTGAATACCACACTGAAAAAAGAGAATTTTCTCTTAAAAAGTAATTTTATTTTGTATTTTCTACAGAGTTCGTAGCAAAACTTTCCCATTACTGAAGGGAAAAAATACAGGTCAGGCAAACTTATCTAGCACTAGTGAAACACACCCTTGACAGCACAGTTGCACTTGTCCTTGGAACTCCACTACAGTTCTGACACTTCATCTTTGCACTGACAAAGAAAACTGCAGTGTTGAAAGAGTGCTGAGATGAAGAAGGATACGTTAAGTGGACAAGAGGGACACACAAATAAAATAAATAAAGAGCATTTGTAACACTTGCCATATACAAAATAAGTTCTTCTGGAGGGTGATTTTCAATTTTTTTTTTAATTGAAAGCCTGAACAAAGATAAGCCTTTCACCAGAAATCATTTGAAAATGCTGTTTTTACAAGCAATAACGGGGCACTAATCAAACCACCAGTCTCCTGCAAACTTGTGATAGTTTTTACCCTAGGCCTTCCTGGAGACCAGCTTGTAACCAGGAAGGAACTAGAAAAGCGACAAAGGAAGTATTCCATATCATTCCTTTCCGTAACACAACATATAAAAAGGCGCAGATAAGAGAGTTCGCTTTTCTCTCTTCCAGTGGCTGAAGGTCTCTCCGTAGACGGGCTTTGCTTATATAGGCCAGGGCCTGCTACTCAGACCTGCCGTTATCTCCCATCTCTCCGGGAGGTGCGGGGGAACTGGCTGCTGCCTTGCACAGCTCTGCTGTCCCGCTCAGAGAAGTATTTAATTTGTCTTTTAATTTATTCTTTAGCTCTCTATTAACGGGTATATTTAGAAGATATTTGGGGTTTTTTTTTAGGTTTCTTTTTATCCCTGTTTGACCCCCAGCCAGGGTGCTTCCCGTGCCTCGTGGCCGGGGGTCCCAGGCTGCCGGGAGCCTTTCCCACGCTCGAGGGTGGGACCCCCAGCCGGGGTGCTTCTCGTGCCTCGTGGCCGGGGGTCCCGGGCTGCCGGGAGCCTTTCCCGCGCTCGGGGGTGGGACCCCCAGCCGGGGTGCTTCTCGTGCCTCGTGGCCGGGGGTCCCGGGCTGCCGGGAGCCTTTCCCGTGCCACGCGTGCGGTTGTGCCCCTGGGCACGGCCATTGCAGGAGAAAGGAAAGACAAGGAGAGCCTTGCCAGCAGGAACTACACCTCCATGAAAGAGGAGAAGGAAGTTTGGGAGCACACAGAGGTTTGGCGTTCCAGGTTTGGGGGGGAGGAGGTGGGTGGGAGGGAGGATTAGTGTAGTGTGTCAAGTGGACCGTGGGGGTCC